AGTTTACGTTTACATATTGGTGAGTATCTTATAAATAAGTTGAATGTTTAATTCTCAGACATCATCTAGTTGTGCCTTTCTCTCATCATCAGGAACCAAGATGACATCAAAAAGGTTAACCAGATCAAAGAGTCAGAGAAATCTGGTACTAGAGCCTACCCTGCTCAAATGATTAGTTCACTAACCATTTGTTCTATAACTATGACATTGGTAATTTTTACCATGGATAATCAGTTTTAATATAGGAGTCACAGATCATTACCACTTTACTATTGTATAGAGATGCGATCTGTTATCTATTTTTCTATTTAAAATTTAATGGATATCTAGATATCTGAATTCTTTATAATAATTTTGTTATAAAATTAAACTGGCGGATATCTGGATCGCATCTCTACTATTGTAGACTTCAATGATAATTTGTTTTTTAAAGTTTAGTTTTTGATAAAAATTGTTTGTTGCAAATTGATAAATTTAAGGAGATGTGTAACAAACTCTAAAAAAAATATTTTTTTTAAAAAAAAAATAATGAAATATTCTACTCATCATCGATATACATGAACTCCTCGAAATAGTAGTTAACCCCTTTATGAGTCATTAGAAATTGTTCAAGATGAAAACAGGAGGTGTATGAAATAATATAATATAATATATTGATATAGATTGCGAAATGAAGTTATGAGTTTAAGGAGATGAGTAAGAAATTTAGAAAGTGTAGTAGAAGAACAAAGAAATTTAGCAGTGGAGAGAGTTGAACATAGTTGGATGTTAGAAGTAAGTTACGATCAGTTAATAGAAGAAAGAGGAAAGTTATAAGCTAGAATAGAGAATTTAGAAGCAAGAAGAGCAGAGAATAGAGAACAAGGTGTAGAAGGGGAAAGAGTAAGGAGGGTTCATTTTGGAGAAGATAATGATGTAGTATAAAATTATGAATTGTTTAATAAAAAATTAAATGTTTCTTTAAAAAAAAATTAAAGTAATATAAAATTTTATTCGATATGTATTTGAAGCTTTGGATATGGTTCAAATAGTAAATAAAAGGTATATAGAAATAATATATTATTTTACAATTTATATATTTAATTTTATTAAATATTTAGACTGATGTGAGAAGTTAACAATTTATGTCATCGAGTTCGAATATTAGAGAAACAAGTTGGGAAGAAACAATCATTGAGAACATTCAAAGAACTTTGGTGCGAGATGTAGAGTATGAAAGGTTGAAATGAGAGAAAAATAGATGAAAGCTTGAGTAGTGAATTTGGAGAATAAAGTTAGAATAAGAAAAAATGTTAATGATAATAGTAATAACAGTAGTGGTAGTAGAGATAAAATGGTAGGGTTTAGGTTCTAGTAAGCTATGATAGAAATATTGTTATGTTTACATTTAATGTTATATTTAACTATGAATAAACATTAGTCAAAACAGTCACATTGTACTAACATATCAGTATAACATAATAACATAATAAATAAATAAAAATGCATTTTGTACATACAGTATTGGTTCAATTTTTGTTGAATATCTATAAAGTATGGAAAACAATTATAATGAAATTGTTAACAACTTATGTAATTTGTATAATGAAGAAAGATCCAAATGCAAAAATTCAGAGCAAACTCTTAACTTATTGAAGATTTTTTTGGTAAAAGGGAATCAGAATCTAGTAGATATCATCAATTGGTACTTGAATGATAAAATAAATTCTACGGTTCAAGCTATTCTTGCAAATTGTTATCATTTTGGCAAATGGGTCGAAAGAGATAAAAAAAAGGCATTCGAGTATTATCAGAAAGTCACAGATATGGGTCATGCTAGCGGAACATACATAGTTGGTCATTGTTATCGAAACAGAATCAGAGTTAAGAAAGATGAACATAAAGCATTTGAATATTACCAGAAAGCTGCTGAGATGAGTAATGCTAATGGAACATTAGCTGTTGGTATTTGTTATCACAAAGGAACTGGTATCAAAAAGAACAAAAAAAGGCATTTGAATATTATCAGAAAGCTGCTGAGATGGGTAATGCTAATAGAATATTAGCTGTTGGTGTTTGTTATAAAAAGAGAATTAGTATTGAGAAGGACGAACGAATAGTATTCAAATATTTACAGAAAGCCGCAGACATGAGTCATGCTGATGGAACATTTAATGTTGGTGGTTGTTATCACAAAGGAACTGGTATTGAGAAGGACAAAAGCAAAGCATTTGAATACTATCAGAAAGCTGCAGACATGGGTCATGTTAAAGAAACATATGGTGTTGGTAATTGCTATGATAATAGAATCAGTGTTAAGAAGGACAAAAGCAAGACATTCGAATATTTTTAGAAAGCTGCAAAAATGGGTGATTCTGATGGAACACATCGAGTTGGTTATTGTTATTGAAATGGAATCGGTATTGAAAAGGACGAACATAAGGCATTTGAATATTACCTTAAAGCTGCAGACATGGGTTATGTTAAAGAAACATATAGTGTTAGTTGTTGCTATGATAATAGAAATAGTATCGAGAGGGATGAACATAAGGCATTTGAGTATTATCAGAAAGCTGCAGACATGGGTCATGCTGATAGAACATTTAATGTTGGTGGTTGTTATCATTTTGGCAAATGAGTTGAGAAGGATGAAAGCAAGGCGTTTGAATACTATCAGAAAGCTGCAGACATGAGTCATGCTAGCGGAATATGCATGGTTGGTTATTGTTATAGAAACGGAATCGGAGTTGAGAAAGATGAACATAAGACATTCGAATATTATATGACAGCTGCAGACATGAGTCATGCTATGGGAACATTTAATGTTAGTCATTGTTATGCAGACAGAATCGGTATCAAGAAGAAT